TTTATGGAAACCATAAGCACCAAATGATCAAATGATCAAATGAATGATTTATAATTGATATGTTTTTTGATATGTTATTATAGCCTAAATAAGTCAAAGTAATATTCATACTGGTTTAAGTAAAAAGTTTGATAGTGTTTCCTATCTTTGCTGAGTAAGAGTTTTGTGCAAAGGGAATGCCTTTCCCATAGACGCTTGTTCCAAATATAGGCAGGCTGAGTTGAGTGATTAAAGCAAATAAAAGCCTGGGCTATTAATTGACATTTTACAGTATATGTGTACATGTGCTAATATTTTTCTGTGTTTGGTGATAATATGTCAGTGTCGCCGTTACAGCAACAGGAGCTGCAAATGCCCTATATACACTACATCTGTTGTTTTACTTCTTCTTATGTAACTATTTTTATCTGAACTGTCTCCGTTAAATAAAGTAGATAAGTGACGTAGATTAATTTCAACTTGTTCCACAAATACTACACAGCATAAAATATGAATTAATACTGTTTTAAGTTAAGTGCTTAGAACATTTCTATCTTGGATCGTATGTAAGCTTAGGTGGTTGTTGGTTTCAAATTAAACTTAGTCCAGTACAAAACTAGGCCTATAAAAGTGTTTATAACACTAATAGTGCAGCAATGATGCATTTTGATTGTTTATGTTTTGTTAAAATCATTCAATAAGATTTTATCCACTTTTTTACATTTCACATTTAGTAAGCTTTAGTAACATTTTAATCGTACTTTCAGTGAATTTTACCAGAAGAAACATGCTTATGGCACCACTCAGGTGCACAAAAGGACCTATTCAGTCAGTGAAGATCAGGATGAGTCCACTCGGTTCATCTGAAGGATGTTAAACATTTGTGCATTCATGTACTGAACACGTCAAGCATGCTTGTATCACACTCCCTGTCACACTTTTAGAACGGGGTTGAGTCACTGCGGCAGGCAGGCCCAACATGGCACTGATTGAATAACCCAACTGGCATACCAACAATGTATTTATAAAAAACTTTTTTATAAAAAGAGTTGGGGGGCCTGCTGTCCTCCTTGCCCCCTTCGGCGGGGGAATCCCTGGAATTCATCTGTCTTCTGAAGCACTGACATGAGGAAGCGATTTCTTCAACTTACTACCATTATCAACAACAGAGCTAAAACGTGACACCAGCAGTGACAAAATCAGCATGAGGACTGCTGGGTAAAAGTGTGAACCTATTTCCAGAACATTCTCTCTGGTGTTTAATGGCAGCGAACGGCTTGTCTTATTGTAAACAGAGACTGTTGTCACGGGCCTTGCCTTGCTTTAAATCTAAATCTAGCTCATGGGTGACTGAGGGAGTGATTCTCCAGGAATCTGAAACAGGTGTCTAAGCTTGAGGATCTGCCTGCCAACGTACAAGTCCCAGTCCCCAAAATCTGTCGATCTCTTCCATATCAAGACTCATTAATGCTGAGACCACGTTATACCACCGAGGCTTTCATTGTGCTGCTTTAAATCTGCTGCCAAAGTGAATGAGTTGATATTTCTTGGCCAGGTTAGAGTGAGGATAGACAGTCCGAGAGGTATTGTTTATGCTTTGTTTCATCAAGATCTGCATTGACTGCTGCTTTCTGGTCACTTAAATAAAAAAAAGTAAATGTGTTTTGAATGTCCACCCTGCAATGAAAAAGTTTGAAAGACCACCAAATAAGCTTTCAAATGTACGTTTTATTTGATCATTTTGTTGAAAAATACTAAATGTTCAATAATATATTCTTAAGTTTTTGAATCTGCCTAAATTTAGGTCTCAATGCTGTTTAAAGTTCTTATCCACACAGCTAGAGATACATTTAAGCTTTTTTGTCTAAAAAGTCACATTTATTGATATTGAGTCCTAAAAATAGCAGAGGCCACTATTAATGTGTAATTGCTATGTAATTAATTACAGAACGTAAACCCTCACATTTCCATAAGCAAAACTGAGGGCATGACCTCAATGTTCTCAATGTCAGCTACTACCCTGCAAATGAGTGTTTTTCACAAGGAGATGGTCTTATTTATTTTATTTATATGTTCTATTTGGTGTATTTCTAGGAATACACCAATTTTGACCTATTACTTTAATTCTAATTATGTATTTTGAGCTGAACTGATGGTTTTCACAGTGGGGACATTACAGGTGGATTAACACTGCCCTCCAGTCATTGATCATAAGTTAATCTTCCCTTAGGGGCCCTTATCCCCCATGAACTTGATGATAAAGGTATGTGTTCTCCTATAAAAAAAGTAGTTACATTTAATTTAGACCTCTGCATCACAACTCACCTGACACTTCTACAAATCCGTCTCTCGTTTTGACGTTTAATTCCTCTGGTTTGAAGCTGTGGACGTTCACACAAACTTTCCAGGGCTCTCCCCCGGTGGTGATGGGTGAGCTCCGGGAGGAAGGCTCGCCGTACCTGCTGGTGTACAGCGTGGGGCCTCCCGTGGACTGACGCGAGGGGAAACCTGTGCGTAAACCACTGCTGAAGGGCGAGGTACTGAGGCGCGTGCTGAGCCGGCCCGGCCGAGCCCAACCCGGCCAGTCCATTGCCAGATCATCGGGAAAAGGAGGCATCCCAAAGTCATCGTCAATAAACCGAGATGCGAGCTGATCCCTGAACGGAGACTGATCTCTGAACGGCGATTCTCCAAACGGGTCCCTGGGAAACCTCTGCCGGTTCCCCATAGTGTAGAAGTCTCCCTCTGCCATGTCCCGCTGAGTTCAAAACCAGTTAAAGTTCTGATATTTGTGCCAAACAAAGCCGAGCCAAAACTTCTTGTTTTGAAAAAAAAAAAAAAGACACTTCTTATGTCTGTGTGAGGTAAAACTTTATCTCTTTTGGATTACGCGCATCACCGTTACGCAATCAGTCACCCGTTGATCCAACAGCAATCTGTTTAAATGCACGCTGCCTTTCCTGAAACCTAAAGTGAATTCCTCCTGGCGGCGGGTTTTATACTGGACAGCGATTTCCCAGACTGTGAGTCGGCACAGAGCAAGTGTCGGGAAAGTGCTGGGAGGATCTGGAGAGAACGCGCACTGCAAAAAATGTTCATCCAACAAGTACTAAAGTATCTTCAAGTGCTTAAAGTACACACATTTGGATCAAATAACCACTGTCTCTGATCCAAATAAACTGCATCCTCTGTTTATGAGGGGGAAAAACTGTTTAGGAGTTAAAGTAAGATTAAATGACTTGCTGATGTTGACATTTTTTGCAGTGCAGGCCCAACAGCTGACCAAAGACCAGCCTCCTTTTTACCAAATTAAGTTGCTGTCCACATGTCACTCATAAAGAGTTGGAGCGCACTCCTCTAGGTGACTCACTGGCTTTTTAATAGAAAATAACGCACAGCTTCAGGTCTAACACGCTGATGTCACAGTACGGATAAAACAAAACAGCTAAGAAGCCAGCTTTGTAAAGATGCCCGCTGTTTACTGCGGTGAACTCGGTCATCTGTTTTCAGGACATAAAACAAGACTGCAGTGGCGCTTTTATTCAGAACATGATTTTATATAGCTTATTCTAAACACGCAGTGAAAGGGAAAGCTGATTTCATGGGGTTATGATGGGGACAATTCAATTTCCAGGTGACATACTGTATTACTACAATGCGGAGTTCACACTGACACAAGATAAAATGTGTTAGTATGAAAAACATATCATTTTGCAATATGCTCCTTCACATGGAAAACAGGGAGAATATGCATAATTTAACACTGAAACACTGGAACACTATTGCTATATGACTTTGTTATTGGGATTTTTTTAAATAACAAAAGACATGATCAGATCTTTAGCACAAAGACATTTAGAGTCAATTGATCAATTGATTGATGCCTAACTGGCATATTGTCTTCTTATCCTCTGTCACTGGTCAATGCATCATATCCATACCTACATTTTAACATCCAACAAGGCCCAGATCACATTCTGTAAATCAAATAATCACAGGTTTTTTATAATTTATACAATGCAGATGCATATTTACACCACAGTAATTACATATTCAAAAAATATTTTGCACAAGAACTGATGTAAACTTTACATTGTGAGATTGGGAAAGGGCTAACCCATCTAGAAAGTTTATCAACGTTACCTCACAAATCTTCCCCTGGCACCGAGTCAACACTGGTTGACACGAGTCATCATAAGTTTTGAGTTTATGAATGACTTTTGTGCCAAGTTTCTTCCTCCTCCAGCATCATATTTCCCTCATTCGTCCAATTTAGTTGACATTCAGGGAAATAAGCTGAGAGTATTGAATGCATAGAGAGCAGTCTGTCAGGCCTGGAGCTATTACACAGACAGGGTGATGGATTTGAAATGATTGAGAAATATAACTCTTTTAATTATATGGAAAGGCAGTTTCAAACTTTTTTGCAGATTCAAACTCCAGAGTCAAAGCAGCCTTGAAAATAACTTTCATTGACTAGTCAGATATGGAGATTGATGATGAATATGAGGCTATAATAAGCAGCCGATTAGCTTAGCTTAGCATAAAGACTGGAAACAAGGGGAAACAGAGTCCTGTCCAAAGCTTAAAAAAACAAACACATCTGCCAGCATCTCTGAATGGAAATAAAATTTAAAAAATGCATTTTTGACCCTTTCAGATTAGATTCCCAGTCTTATTGTAGACCTATTTAACAATGTATGCCAAAGGAATATACAAAAAAAATCTTCGTAATGCTATATCAAAAATATATATCTTTTTTTTTCTTCCTGTAAAACAAAATGTGTTGACCAACTAATTTTAACCAATCATATAATGACATCCACCTTTTCTGCTTTTCAGTAGCTAATGGCTGCTGTAGCTGCCGTTAGCGTGCAACGGAACAGGGCTCAGCAGCCTCCCAGTGAACACGGCTGGACTGGGACCAAATACAGCCTCAGAGACAGGGAGGCCAGTTTAATGATGTTGCTTTAAAGTGTTTTGTTAACCTTTTGATGGAAGCAGACCAGCTGTTTCACCATTTCCAGTCTTTATGTTAAGCTTGTTAGCCAGCTGCTGGCTGTAGCTTGATATTTAACAGACAGACATGAATGGTCTTAGTCTTCTTTATCTGATTCTTGGTAAGGGAGTAGCGTATTTCCCAAAATGTTGAAATTTTGCTTTTGAAAAAAGCACCCAAAATAAGAGATTGGACAGGAAGCATCTTTTCTGCCATCCCGGTTTTTGTTCTTTTGTCTTTTGAACATTTGCTTCTCCTTTGAGGTTTATGTGTGAGTACAGTGGCAAAACCCAAGAATAATTTACAACAAACCAAAAATAAATTACAGCAGTGTCATAATAATTTTAAATTGACAGTGTTGCATAGAAATATTGACCACTACTGAGAGGGACAACAAACCAATAAATATTAAATAGTAATAAATATGTATGATGCTGCACAATTCAAAGTTTGACCTTACGTTGTACTATAACTCAAGTACAAAAAAATAGTTGACATACAGTATCTGTTTGGTTCCAGTGTTGTAGCAAGAAAACATTATTCAAGTAAACTGAGACTCAATGCTATTCATAAGTTCAGACCTATTTTGCAAACAAATGAGGTACAGCCTTTTCTCTCTATGTCATCTTTTGAAATAAAAAATATTGAATAAGAATTCAGAGACTCATACGTAAGTACAGACAGACCAAGATGACAATTTAAGCATTAAAGTAGATTTTAAAAAGTCCATTATATTTACCATTAAAGTATCATTTTCTCAAAAATTTTCAGGATTTGTTTTATTCGCCATTAGTTATCAAGGAAAATACCTCCTCTGACTCTGTAGATTTTGTCAGACGAAATTCCCCTCCCTGTTTCTGCACAATGTTTCAATCGCTCTCTGTTGTATTACACAGACTGACATTTCAATTGTTTTCCACATGATCAAAGGACAAATTAATTTGACATTTGAGCTGACAGGCAGTTTGCTCGCCGTCAGGCCACCCTCACCGATACATTTTTTTGAGGAAACACATTTGTTCTCCACCTTGTGAAGTGCAGAGATCAGAGCAACAAACCTTTTCCTTATTCCTGACAACGATCCCTTTGAAACCATTTGTTAATACTAAGATCAAACGGCTCAAATGTTACATCAATACTTCACTTCTCTGCGCAAAATCTACAACATTCAGACCTGACTTGGGACAGTAAATGTCCAATGTCCTATGAGTCTTTAAAAGTGTTTATCTGGTGCATCTGCCAAAACAAAACTCTTTTCGGTACCCTCAGGCCTTATTATACACCATTTAACTATCAATTTAAAAAAAAAAAACTGTTGTTAAACCATTTTAAAGCATTCTTTTAAATGAATAATTTAACATGATGTGTTGTTAGTTGACCAAACACAGGAAAAGTATTTCTGTTTTATGTGCAGTTCCTATTGTTAATATCTAAGAGATGAACAGTCTCAGGCCATTGTGAGTGCTGATGCAAGAGGATGCGGTACAAGAACAAAACAAACAAACAAAAAGACATTCTGTCTCCAGTGGTCTCTGTGGGCAGAGTGAACAAGACTGCATCAATGAAAGACTTGGTGAGACCCCTGCTGGGACATTTCCATTCAAGCGTCAAAGCAGAGCATTGAGACGTACACAGTCGATTGCTCCAACATCCACTGTCCCTGCTCTCAACTGGAAACACAATTGGCTCCTCTGTCCCTTAATGTTCTCTGAGAAACCTAATGCCTGGTTTTGTTGCGTTTGTTCAACGAACCAGGACTCCTGCTGCGACTGCGGGTCCCAAAGATTGAGTTCCAGGATGAACTGCGGCTGTAGCTCCTGTAGGAGGAGTAACTGTGGCTCCGGCTACGGCTCCTGCTCTGGGTGATGCTGTGGATTGGGCTGCGGCTGCGGCTGCGGGTGAAGAGGCTGCTCCAGGATGACACGCTGGTGGACCGACTGCTGGAGGAAGGACTGGGACGGAAGTAAGGAATGGGTCGCTTCCTGGCACTGTAGAGAGCCAAAAAGGCAAGTTGTGTTAAACTGACAAACAGTAGGAGAATTAAAGCTGCAATGTGGCTGATCTACAGCTCTACAGAATAGTTTAGCATCTTTTAGCTCATTGTTGTGATTTTACAGTTGCAATTTTACTGTTCACTGCAGGCACTAATTTTCAGCCAAAAAGCTCTATTAAATTCACTGTACAGCACCTGCTCAGCATCAAACAGGAAGGCAAAGTTAGACAGTAGGTGGAATAAGGAAACTTACATGGATTTACATTTGCCAGGTGGAAAGAAACAAGACTCCAAAAAAATGCTTCTCTATGTTAAATTGGTAATAGGCAACTGTTTCCTAACATGTCACAATATCAATATTATTGGGTGATCATTTGTAAATGTGTTTACAACATGTTGCACTGCCCCCTAGTGGCCCAAAACACCAATTAATGCCTGTTTAAAGCCAACACAGTTCTTTGGCCAATTGGGTGGCAAAATTACTTAAAAATATCAAAACATATCACATTACAAAGATGTTATAGCTAATGTGTAAGTGTTTAATTAGACACCCAGCAGACACAACATCACACAGCAACTTTGGCATCATTTGGAGTTGTTTCTGAACAACCTGGTGAACACACAGTAAGTCCAATATTCACTCTACGTTTGGCCCTTTTTTGGTCTCCACCAACTCCTGATAAACATATCTGCCATTCATATTATACATAGCTACTTGACCCATAATCAATATACAAATATGGAATAGTGCAATTTTAAAACAACGTAGATAATGGAGCAATAACTACTTAAAATCTGTTATTTGTAATTTCTCTGTTGTGTTCTTTGATGCAAATTTCTTGGTGTTAAGTCATTTACTGCTGTCAAAGAGTAGTGTGACGGAAAGAAAAGTAACACTAACTGTGTAGCAGATCAGATCTGTTAAAAAAAGTGAAGATCAGACTTGCTTGTTCTTTTTTTACATTTCAGACTGCCTGTGTTCGCCATCTGCTTCTTTAGCACCTGTGGTGGCTTTAGAGCTGACGGTTATCTCATCCTCTGGCTAAATGCCATTTCATGGTACACAGCTCATCAACACGAGGGAAAGACTTCAGGTTGGGAACTTGTCCAGCTGAGGGGGCGGAGGGTGGGACCAGCAATACATTTTTGTTGCCTTTAGGCATAAAAATGTACATTTTTAGCTATAAATAACCAGACTGGGAAAGCTTTACCTTGTGATTCGGCGTGCTTCCAGATGGCTTGGTGAGTCTCTCCTCCTTTTCTTCATAGGAGAGTAGGATTTGCGGCTTCGTCTCTTCCCACTAACCTTATGTGCATGCTTCACATCTGTCTCTCTGGAGCTAGGTTTTCTCTTTCTGTCTCGTAGTCTGGGAAGCCGACATAACAATGTGAATATTTTATCACCAACAATGTAAATATATATTTGTTTTGCAATGAGGAGTATTGAACCATTTCATAAAATTCACCTTTCAGCACTGTGTCTGGAGTAGCTTCCTCTGGAGCTGAGGCTGGCTACGCTGCCTCGCCGCCTCAGATCAGCTGAATAACTGGGTGAGCGTGAGTACGAGCTGGCAATAAGAAAAATTACAATTATCTCCTAGAATCAAGCATTTTTATTTTTGTATGACTGGAAATGAGGATTGATTACATAGACTCTTCTATTTTTATTCTTTACGTTTTGGCTTTCTACTGTAGTACAGGCATGTAATATTGTGTGGCAGCACATAAATTGCATGATGTACAGTAGTAGGTACTGCCATGTCAAGGTGCATTGGAATAAGACCAAGAGACTTTCAACCTCTGAGTTTAGATTGTTAGCAAATTAGCTAAAATGTTTACAACATTTGCTAATTAGCACTCAACCAGTGCAATTGAGGCTGATGGGAATGTCATTCATTTTGCATGTAAACCAAGGTACTGGACAAATTGAAATCTGGACCTGATGGTTGTGCTATAGAGGAAAAGATAAGGGACCAAAGTTATTTGATTCATCCCAAGGGGAACATAAATGACTGTACCAAATTTAATGGCAATCTATCCATCCAAAAGTTGTCAAGATATTTCACTCAATCTCATCGTGGCTCTAAAAAAAAGTCAAGAGGATCACCAAAGCCAGTAGGACATTGAGTTTTGTTTAATCAAAGCTCAACAGGTTGTCCCACATTTTCTGTGTAACTTGATATTAGTGGTTGTTAGTGATGTAAAATATAAAAGTAGTGCACCTGCAAGACGACAGTGACAGGCTTCGAGAGTAGCGTCCGGAGTATCTGGAACTCCCAGAAGATCTACTCCTGCTCCTGCTGCTCGATGACCGAGTTTTCAGTCGCCTTCGAGACGACTTGCTTATCCTCTGTGTACATCTGGAAGTCTTTGGAGATCTCACAACCTCTACCCGACACCCCAAGGTTACCTGCTCTCTGCAAAGACAACACATTTAGACATTTCACTGCTTGGACTGATAAATCCAACACTGTATTCTGTGTTGTTTTTAAGAAATGCTCTCCCTTATTCTCACTCGTAAGATGAATATTCCAAAAGAGGAAACAGAATGTGGGAACAGAAGATAAACAGTTTGCAATTTTCCTGGTAAGCATTCATTTGGATGGATTATTTATCATGAACACAACATTACCTCTTGCTGTTTCTACTGAAAAGGTTTGCAGACAAGCCGTCCTCCCCGTAAGGTTTGCACAAGGAAGCATAGCTGGTCACAGAGTTTCCTGAATCAGAGACATTGTCTCTGTCAGTGAACTTCAGCTTCTCTGGCGAGGCCAGACGTTTACAGTGGTTCCTCTTGTTGTCAGTGACACTCGCCCGAGAAACACCAGTTTTGCTTGATGGCGGTGAAGATGTGTCATTCCCAGAATCGTAATCGTGTGGACCTTCGGTCTGGCTTGATAAAGGCTGAGACCCTTTTCCGTGTAAAAGCTCGCTTCCAGGTTTTGACGACAAAATCTGCAAACAGACAAATAGGCTGCAGCTTAAAACCAAGTGTTTGTTCATAAATGGAACCTGCTATCTGCTTTGATGCACTGTGAATACTCTAGTACAAAGGCACATATTCCCTTGAAAACACAGAGAAGAGATTTATTTTCTTTCTCGGGACAGAAAACTTTGAAAGATAAAGACATCATGCAAATTTGAAGCATGCGATTAACCTCAAAAGAAAGTCTGAACTCAACTAAAGTCAAAGAAATCAACAAGAAACAAATTTAGATAAAGTAAGTCTGAACTAAAACAATTATATGAAAGGAACAACAAAAGAGAAGAAAAGAAAAACTATGCGTGGAGAAATCTACCGACTAACTCGAGTGAAGAGAAAAAGAGTAAACAATAGCCCCATTGAAAAGCCTCATTTAAAGAACATTGAACAAACATCACAAAATGGGTATTATGTAGAAATGAAAAGGATTGCAGACAAAGAGAGATCCCATCAGTCTAACTAAGAAAGCCCTCAGAATAGGACAGATGACTGTGCTCTTTCTCCTGTAAGAAGTAAATAATTAGCCTGCACCGACCTACAAGTAAATCCCTAAATCTGCGGATAGCATCGACTTACCAATCAAGATTTCCTCCTTAAGTAGGTAAGGTGTAAGAAAAAGGGAAGAGCGGGCAACATAAGTGCATCATTAGAGTCGTAAATTGCAAGAAAAAGACAATAACCCTCTCTTCAAACCCAGAGCCAGTTAGACTTATATTGGCATGTTCCTTTTTCTTTCCTTAATGGTGCATTGTTTTAGAGATGTTCGGGAACAAAAGGTCCCAGAATATTTAAAAAAGTGTGCTTGTATGCGAGTACAACTACTGCACACCATTTTTTATTTTTTTTACTGCAGATGTCCACAGATGGAAAAAGATAGTGTCTATCCAAGGATCATAGTTGGCTAATCTCATACAATTATGATCTCTCTCTACTTATTGATTACGAGACACTCAGAGGTTTATCCAGTCTGTCCTCCTGAAGGTTTCCCATTATCTAGTCTAAAGTCGACACAACAGACCAACCCTGAGGGAAATTAACCACTTGCATCTACGCACAATCTGTGCATACTCAAGAGTAAAAGATTTCACTAACAGAAAAACAAATTGAGACATTCTTCAGTGTCACCTTGAGATATTTTGACAAGGCTACCTTCAAATAAACACTATATCTCTGCCATGGTATTTGTGCTAATGGTTCTTGTGTGCTTTCTTTCCCTTTTGTTGCCACAACGTTTCTTATTCTTCCACCACAGAAGAAATTCACCATTTATATATACAGAAAAGGTTGACATATTTTATAATCAACCACATTCATGTCGATTTTTCATATTTTTTAGGGTTTTTCTCTCCAGTCATACCTACCTTTCCCTTTATGGCTTGCTTTTTGGGGAAAGAAATATTAAGCAAACATCATTCTTCATCACATTTGAAATTACGTGTCTTTTAGTCACCAAATTAAAACCTGTAAATAAATGCAAACACGACTGAATAACTGTGATACAGTAAGGCAACGTCTCAGTGACTGTGAAGTCCTCCTGAAAGACTTTGGGATATTGAATGCCAGGCATGATTCAATATATGGATTCATTTATTGAATTTCAATTAAAACCCTGTGGTGTGTAATTAAAAACATTTGTCGGTGCAATTAGCATAATTTAATGATTGCTGGAGAGAAATTAAATATATTTCATGCTCCAATAAGCATGAGACAAATAGCTGTATTTCTAAGGCTCTTTGGGAAACATCACTTAAAAAAAAAAAGTCAAATCAATCTACAATAAACACAGTTTTAACATTCAATGTCTGTCGTCTAGAAGTTGTCAGTCATAGTTTAAAGATGTTTTCATTTGGTTTCATTTTAGCTCCAAGTCAGGTCTGCAATCTGAACAGCTGAACCTGCTGGAAGTGTAACATAAAACAGCTGCAATGACTGGAGGGGACTGAGATGGGCTTAAGTGAAAAGGCTATATTTGTATTTTTTCCTGCTTCTGTAACATGCCAATCTTGGCTCCTGAAGGAATGCTAGTGCAAGTATTTAGTAATCAAAGATAAAATATAATATTTAACGAAAAAACATATTCTAAATGCACAACAGAGAGACTTTTAATAAAAAGTGGCAAGAACACTAATAATTCTAAACTCAATAATTACTCTGAGTGATCATTATTTATCTCAGTCTTAAGCTCAGTCTCCTTAATGTTTATGTTGACATTAAATGTCAGTGTTGGGTGCAAGTACATCATTATGTCCAATCTCAAACTGTCCCTAACCTTAAAGCTCTATGTACTAAGAACAGTCTGTGGCACTTTTGATGACAATAAACAAGCAGGAAGCGCTTGTTTATTGCCTGCTGTTTGCAGATCATAGTTTGACAAAACAAATGCAGAATGGTAACAACATTGTTTTATTTAATTTCCCTTCATTAAAAAGAAAATATGCAACACAAGTGTTTTGCAACAGGGTACTATGCAGTACAGCAGAGATAAACCCCGGAAGAGTCAATTACCAATCTAGTCAACATCAAAACATTTTAAAGCTGTTACCAAGTGTTTTATTTTCCTAATCTTTACCATAGTTGTGATGCACAAAGATTGTTTGAATAATCCATTAAAAAACAATATTCATTGACATCCTCACAAAATGTCCATAACTCTTAATAATAACTTAATTTAAACCCTTAAAAATAATAAATAATTGTTGTTGTTGTCGTTTCATAATTGGACACTTTATTTCTCAGCAGAAGGGAAAATAAGCTTTTGAGAATGTGTAATTTTTCCAGTGGTATCATTATTATTATGGGGTCTTCTCTACCAAGTACTTAATTACATTAGTTTTAAAAACAGAAAAACAAAAACTGACAAAATTACTGCAAAACAAATAATTTATAAAAGGAGCTCAGAGTAAGGCCATGTACAGTTTTTGATTTTGTAAACATTCTTCCCTTAAAGGATAACTAAATTCATTTAGACATATTGTTTTCTGAAAAAAACATTATATTTATTTTGACTGAATATATAGTGAGCTAAAGAATTTTTTTATTGAGAATAATTTTTCAGACCAACCCGCCTCACTGGAGGCCTTTTATTTTATCTAAGTTGTTTTACATGGCCATAACTGAGAAATTAAACTGAACAAGCAGCAGCACCGTTAAGAGTCCTAAAGTGTACTTACGGTGGCAGTTGAGAGGATGGAGCGATATTTTGGAGCCGTTTTACACACTGATTTGGTTGCAGGTCTCCACTTCATGTCCGTGTGGTCAAGCACTCCATTGGTTTCCTCTACTACAGTTGCCAGGTCTCCTAACGCCTGATGCACCACAGATTTTTGCAGATGGTGTCTGTGGGAAAAGGCTAGATTTAGTTTTCATGACACAGCATCATTACGTAAATGCTTCTTTTCAGTTACAGCCAATTCTGCACTTAAGAGGATGAGGAAAAAATCAGCACTTGAGCACATCTGATGTCAGTAAAATATCAGAATTTGCTTCAGCAACCAATATCATCCAACTGCAGCCACAAATGGGCGTTCTCGTGCTGGTGGGGGTTCCCGTTTTCGCTGACTGGAACGCCCCCTTCTTCTTCGCC